TTAGTTGATTAATCGATTAGTTGACCAATCGATTAATCAACTAATCAATTGATTAACTAATTGATTAGTCACTTTGTACATTCTAAGTATATGCTAGGATAATAATTTTTTGCTATTAGAAAAGATTTGTAAATAAATATATATTATTTATATATAATAATGATATTATAATCAATTAACCAATCGAATGGATTAGTGATTAGTTAACCAATCAATTAGTTGACCAATCGACTAATCAATTAATCAATTAATCGACTAATCGACTAATCAACTAATCGATTAATCGACTAATTGAATAATCGACTAATCGATTAAGTTGGTTTAATAAAATAAAATCAATTAGTTGTTAACTTAATTAACTAATCAATTTTTCAACTTCGATTTGTAGCACTAAGTACAGTCATATAGGCGGATTTAATGCATTTGTAGATCATTTAAATATGACAAAATTATATACGTTATAAAAAATAATAATTTTGGCCTATAGCCAGTATAATTTGACCTGGTTTTATGGTTATTTCCTTTTTTAGACTGCCTTGCAACTCCCTTGCAATTCCAAAATAGAAAATCAAACCAAGAATTTGATTGGTTTAATTTTATAATAATCACAAAATTGATATGCAATTCAAAAATATCACATTAATGAAAATGTGTCCAATCTGCCTATATGGTATTGTATAAAAATAAAAACCTTGAAGATAATTCCACATAGTATTATTTTTGTATTATCTTTAAGATCCTTATAATTAATATAAATTATGGATATTCTCCAAGAGAATTGGTCTTTGTTATTATGTAAAAGGTTTCAGCACAAAAAATTAGATATATTCTTTTTACTTTGTATTGATTCAAACAATTTTTAGAATATTATTGTTATTGAATTAGTTACAGGACTACCAAATTTTTGTGCTATCATATTTCACTCGATTTTGTAAATGATCAAGATTTGTTCAACTGTGGGGAAAATTAGGGCTCCCAGAGATGATCATGTTTTTCTATTATAATAGATTTTTTTTTTTCTGATGACTAAAAAAAAAAAAATTAAATTTAGAAAAGATCAAATTTTTTACTGCAAATATTTTTATAGTTTTTGATGATTAATCCATCTGTCTAGTAAAAAAAAAATGGCAAATATATTTATAAATCTAGGTAGTGCTAATAGAAATGAATATGAAGAGTTTTTATTCTTTCTGTTTTTTATTTGTTGCTATCTGAAAGACAAAAGTATAGAATACTATATTAACATTTATATCCACATAGAGACCGAATCCTATTTGATAGATTCAATTCAGGATCTGATACAGATCTAAGTCCGGACTGGACCAGATTCGCAATTTGACATCTCTACATTTATATTCGCTATATATATTATGAGTCCAGAGCGTATCATATGATGGTCATCTTATTGTACAAACGTGTGAATGTGCATATTTTTGCTATACTAAAATTACAAATTTGAACATGCGTACAGACAGATATGAATTTTCAAAATTATTTTTTTGATGCAATAGCTTAAATGACAATAAAAAGTAAATCAAAAATGTAGCTATTGATGTATCAAAAATATATCTTTTATATCACCATGCGTAAACTTTAAAAGTCTATTATTTATACATTTTGCATATAAACTCATCAGATTTTTTAATTATACGTGATAAAGATTTTTAAATTTTTCTGATATATATAGAAAAATATGATTTGGCAAAATTGAAAACCTTTAAATAATTATTTTACAAACAGTAATGGAAAACTTATTATCGGGCGAACCTTTTAATAGATTAAAGTCTTAACCATGTTATATTACTTTTGCGATCATTCTAATATTTACAGAATATTCTCAGTACTTTATAAAGGAACCAACCAATTGGAAAGAAAAGAACTTTCTTTTATGGTTAGAAGAAAATGGCAAAGATCTGTTCGCAGGAAATAGAACATACCAAAATCAACAAATACACTGGCACAAATGTTTTATGAATTCCCTAAACACTGTCATTTTCTGTTGCCAAAGCTTTTTGGATAGCACTACGCAAGCAGCTAAGGAAGAATCTGATTTATGATCTCATGCTAAATTTGTAATAAAAAAAGCAGTTTCTTTCAATAGAAATTTAGTGAGTATTTGTATCCTTTTTATGAAGTGGGTATAAATGCTACAACCAAACAAACTGTGCGGATAGTTTGGGCTTCAAGGCATCTCTTTTTGCTGCATGCTTGAGAGATATTTGGCTAGCTTGTATAAGTGGTCACCTTGGGTGTGTGGCGGAGGTTGTAACTGAACAGACCATGCAGATAGTTTGGGCTTTAGAGCATTTCTTTTTGCTGCGTGCTTGAGAGATATTTGGCTAGCTCGTACGAGTGGTCGCCCTTTAGTACACAGCTACTTGCCTTCTTCAGACTGTTCAATGTTTATCATTTTCTATTGTTATGACATATTTAACTCTTTAGAAAAAGGTATTGAGTGATGTTTTTGAATAGTGGATTCAATGGGAATGAGAAAATTTCAAAGGGCAAGAAGAATAGGTTATAGCTCAGAATTCATTATCTCAAATTAGTTGAAATGTAATGTGATATTACTATAAGATATTGAGATAAATTCACCTAAAATAGAATAATAATAAATAAATAGGTTGAGTGGACGGCAGCTTGGAATGATCAAACATGGAAGAGATTTTGGAATAGCGAAGATCGTACAAAGCACATAAGTAATGCGATCTTGACAAAAAATAAAAGAAAATAGTATTAAGTATATATGTTATATTTTACAATGCTAGCCTTTATTTCTGTAGAAATTGAATGATAAAATCAACGATTTCTTCAAAAGCCCCGCTGAAAAATTAACCAATGTGATTGAAAACTACTAAAATTTGGATGAGCAAGACATCCTCAATGAAGCTGACAATGAGGAGGGTGAGATATTGTATTTTAATTATAAATGAATTATTATATAGCTTTTAAAATTAAGGTATACATTCTTTATCTTGCTTTTACTTTTTGTAGATTATTTATTGGATAGAAAACCATAAGCAAAAACTTCCTTGTTGTCTCACTTGTTACACAGAGATAAATACAACAATATATTAAATTTGTTATTGTAATCGATAAACAATACTTACTTTTTTTTTTGTTCTTCAGATTAATAATTTTAGCTCAATTATATTTTGTCATTTACATTAGGTGCCGCACAAAAAATGCGCGGCAGATTCTCAATTTTGATTGGCTAATGGCCAAAAATCTTCAAAATTTTGGTTTGCATTACAAAATAGTTTACTAAATTCCGGCCGGAGTTAACTTTTTAATTTTTTCATTACAAAAATAGAAATTTTTAAAAAGTAAGCACACATTATGATAAAATTGACCCAGAAACAATTTTCATAGCAATGCCAGTGTCACCAATAATTGAGGTAGCAGTTATATGATTTCTGACCCTAAATTTTTCAGGAATTTTAGAAATATTCCAAAAATTCAGAAGCAAAAGCTCTCTGAAAACAAAATTTAAAGGATTTTTAAAAATTTTGGATCGAGATCATGTGACTGCTACCTCGATTATTGGCAATGCTGGCATTGTTAATTTTCATTTAATAGGCAGCTGCAATTTTATTAGTAAAATTATAAGTAATTCCGGCTTAATTTATTTGGCCAATCAAAATTGAGGATCTGCCACGCATTTTTTGTACAGCACCTAGGTTCAATTATTTAGTCCATACTGTAGAACAAAGATTGTATCATCTGAGAATGATGAACAATTTGACAAGATGGATGAGGAAAGTGTTGTGGATAATGTAAACGAAGATAAAAATACTCCTCCAAAAGTTGCCAAGGTGGTTTTCCAAATAGCCTATGGTGCTATCCCAGATACTTCGAAGTTGCAGTTGAGTATGGGTAAGTTTGTGATAGATGTTCTCTTTAATTTTGCAAAAGACATGAACTATAAGCAGTAAGTTTATCGAAAATTATTTTTTTTTTATTTTATCATTCATGATCCCTATATAATTATCTAAAAAAAAATTCTACTTTGACTTCTTTAAATTTTAGGTCAATTAAAATGGACGTTGAAAGAGTGGGGACATTAGTGGAGCTCTCGAAAAAAATACCACCCTAAGCTCTTTGAAAATAGAAAACCAAAATATATGCAAAGGTGGAGAAATTAAATTAAAAGAAAGAGATTTTCTCCGTAAAAACACTGCGCTGACTTCATTAAGCCTTTGCGGAAAATCTGGTTCTAGTTCCATTGAATTAGAAGAGGGATTAGCCAATGCTCCCCTTATTAATAAAAAACTAAATACTTTAACTATTCAGAATTACAATCTGAAACTAATCACTATAAAAGCGTTGACTAAGGTCTGACATATTATTAGCTATGCTTATTCATATATTGTTAATTTTGACGATGAGAATATCAAAGCGTTGTTTACCGATGAGAAATGGAAAGAATTAACTAAAAATCAAATTGGGGTTCCATTTGCTCCAAGCAATATTATAAAAGAGATAGCAAGATATAGAAAAAAACATTAGAACTACATATAATAGTGATGATGACGTATCTTGAAGATAAAGAACAATATGATATTTATAAACATTTTAATCAAGAATGGATCCAGATGACTATATGAACACTTTGTAATTTGTATAAAAATGTAGATTCTACGCTGATAAAGAGCCAATACGAAGATTGGTATACAATTGCGCTTTTCAGAACATGTATAGTCATCCTCCTATACAATCACACAGTTGGGCACATAGTAACTTTTTTAAAAAATATGCTTATAGAGGGGTTGTGCTTATATGGAGGTTTTTTTCTTATAAATTAAATTATAGTTTGGTCTAAATAAAAATGTGATTACATATGATATAATTATATAGGAGATGACTATATAGAGAGACAACTGTATCGATTTTTGTATATTTGTATGAGAAACATGCAATTGGGAACTAACATTAAGAGGTTTTAACCAGATTTTTACTAGTATAAATGATTCAACTTTGTATTTCTTATCTCTCATTTTTTGTAGAACAAATGCACTGCCAATGAGTAGTTCAAATAGGAAAAATCGTGGTCAGCAAGCAAATACATGCACAAGAAAACTTATTGGCCATAAAATTGATAGAATCATTTATAGCGTTGACAGAAAACTTGAAATCGGGGCTATCGAATCTGCAAGGTCTTTCTTGGGTGTTTCAGACTGAAAATACCTTCTTGAGGTATTTAAGATGCCTAAAACTCTTCAAAATATATATACTGATCTAATGATTGCAGCAAATTATGAACAACAAAAGCAGATAAATTTCAAGTGGTTGGAGTCATACATCTTGGGGTATAGATCCAATTTGTAAGATTGTGGCATGCTGGTAGTTCTATTTGTATCTTTCGCAAAGACTCTAGAACTTTCAATGTAGATAGCTAGTTCTAAAAGAAGCAATAAAATCATTTCTAAAACTTTTAGTAGCAATATATCAACACAAGATAAGGAAAGCTTATTGCTGTAATTTATGATTTGCTCTCTAATCCTTTCTACAGTTGATCATTAAAGACATCTTACAAGTCTTGAATATTCAGAATAATGATGATAATGGATCAAATGATGACTTGGAAAATGAATTAATGGAAGCTAGCCGAAATTCTACACCACTACCTGTATTTACAGTTAAATTTTTTGCCAATAACATCAAGACCTCAAGAAAAAATCTCTGGTTAAAAAGAGAAAATTGAACAAGAATTAAATTATAACTAGCTAATAGGTTATTTTTTAGTACCCATGTGCTATAAAAATTTAATATAATTAGATTTTTTTATTATTAATTTTTATAGAAAAATATTAATTAAACTGTGATTCTTAATAAAGCAAGTGAATTTAGATTCGAATAGAAATCTTAATTTTAATTATTACTATTTTTGCTAGAAATACTAATACTTTTAAGGTATATTAAACCTTGAGTAAAATAACTTTTTTTTAAATTTTAAATAAAAAAATTTTCATATAATTTGGTTAGGTAATTGTTGAGAAATTTTTGCCCAAAGTTAAATATTTATTTAAAAAAAGCTGTGGTTAAATTTTCAAAGATACTATATTCTAATTCTTTAAAACTTTAAATAAAAATTTCTCAATAACTAATAGAAAAATTTGATAAAATTTGTTTATTTTAATTTTATAAAGTTATAGAATTAAAATAAAAAATTTTATTGGATTTGGTTAAGTGGTTTTTAAGAAATCTTTGCTAGAAGTTTAGAAGTTTAAAAAAAGAATCTTTGGTCATGTGACCCAAAATTTTCATGGTCGCACTAGTAAATATTAGCTAATTAATATAAGAATCGAAAAACAATTAGAACTTCAAATAATACTAATAGGGCCCTAATATAAAAATTTATCCAAAACCTGCAACTCTGATTGGTTAAACCTTATATTTAGATAATGTAGCAATATAACCTCTGCTATAATGCAGTTTTCACAAAATGTTATACAGGGTGAACAATGTAAACCTTTTAGTAGATTAAAAATCTTTAACCTGTTATATTACTTTTGTGATCATTCTAAACTGTTTTCTACATTTACAGAATATTCTCAATATTTTATAAAAGAACCAACCAATTGGAAAGAAAATGGCAAAGATCTGTTCGTGGGAAATAGAATATACCAAGAGCAACAAACACACTGGCACAAATGTTTTATCAATTCCCTAAGTATTGTCATTTCCCATTGCCAAGTTTTTTGGATAGCACCGTGCAAGCAGCTAAGGAAGAATTCGATTTATGATTTTATGCTAAATCTGTAATAAAAAAAGCGATTTCTTTCAATAGAAATTTAGTAAGTATTTGTATCCTTTTTATGAAATGGGTATAAACACTACAACCGAACAGACCGTGCGGATAGTTTGGGCTTCAAGGCGTCTCTTTTTGCATGCATGCTTGAGAGATATTCGGCCAGCTCATGTGAGTGGTCGCCTTGGGCATGTGGCAAAGGTTGTAACTGAATAGACCGTGCAAATAGTTTGGGCATTAGGGCATCTCTTTTTGCATGCATACTTGAGAGATATTCGGCCAGCTCGTGCAAGTAGTCGCCCTTTAGCACACAACTGCTTGCCTTCTTCAAACTGTTCAATATTTATCATTTTTGGTTGTTGTGACATATCTAACTCCTTAGAAAAAGGTACCGAATGACGTTTCTAAATAGTGAGAATAAGAGAATTTCAAAGGACAAAAGAAATTGATTATAGCTCAAGATTCACTATCTCAAATTAGTTAAAATGTAACATGGTATTACTGTAATAATAATAAATAAATAGGTTGAGTAGATGTTAGCTCAAAATGATCAAACACAGAAGAGATTTTGGAACAGCAAAAATCGTACAAAGCACATAAGTAATATGATATATCAATCTATTAGCTGAAGGAATTTGGAGAAATTCCAGAAATAAGTTTACAGTTTTTGAAAAAAAAGAGCCACATCAGGAATGAATCAACAAGTTTTTATGAGGCTATTAATGTTTGAAATCTTGACAAAAAATAGAAGAAAATAATGCTAAGTGTGTGTGTTATATTTTATGACACTAGCCTTTATTTCTGTTCATAGGAGGATATTCATCTAATTGGCTGATGTAAATCAATTGTCCAGATAGCTTATTTATACACTTAAAAGTACTTTTCAAGAATATAACATTTCACTAATAAAAAATCACTGCACTGCAAAAACTATTTTTTGCTTCTATATTCATTGTACAAAAATAATCAGTAATTCCAAGAACTTTACTTAGAAGCGAAAATTTTTACTATTTATTGTATTATTGGTCATATTAACTGTATATAAGCTCTAAATGCTGGAAATGGCTAACAAAAAAAAAAAAGAAGTTGAAATATTACGTGTAAGATCTAAACCTAAAAAACTTTGTTATACTGTTCAACATGCTATTATAACAAAAAGCTTAGACTAATGTTCTTATTTTATATATTCTGAATATTATAAAGTTAAAACATTAGTAACTTTGGGTTAAGTGGTAGGTTGATAATATATACGGTCTATGAGTATTATTGTTTTATTAATTATATAAGCTAAAGGTCATGTTGTATCTTTAATAAAGGTTATGATGATGAAATAAAATCGAATTACTTTAATTTTTTTAAAAGATAATAAATAAAGAACAAAGATAGTTTCGCTAATCACATATTAACTCTTTAATGAATAATAAATATTACATTCATTCCACTTTATGCATATCTATCTGTTTTGTATATAATTATTGGTTTGTAGAATTGTTAATGGAGCACTTCAGTCAATAGTAAAACAAATAACCTACTCCAGAGCACTCCAGAAGTGGGCTATATGTTTTATTAATATCTGGAGTACTCCATTAACAACCCTATTGGTTTGTAAGCTCCTTTAAGCGAAGTTTTCTTCTTAATATTAAATAGTTTAAAAAATTATGCAATTTGCAATTGTGGGTAGATTGGCAAAAATCTTAATTTTTATCAAATTTTATCAGATGTCTCAGAATTTCTGTAAAGACCATAACAGACTAGTTCAGGACCATATCAAAATGACTAGGCTGTTAATATCTCTACACAAGAGCATTACGATTTCTGTATTAAAATTCTTCAAGATTTATTAAATACAATTAGTATAAATGCTAAAAATCATTGGATCAAAAAACTTTCAGCTTACAAATTTTGAAGTATTAACATCCTATTGTTCATCATGAGTATTATTATGACAGCTACTAGATAAGTAAGAAGAAAAAACCAAAATTTGTCCACTCAAATACAAGAAAATTCCTTCATGACTGTCGTCCAACAGTCCACTTCTACTTCCACTTCAAAACTTAAATTATAATTTCTCTAAAACAAATAAGCAATAATTGTTGCCCCGACAGGTCATCAAATCACAGCTTCTAAGCCAAATCAATTGCTAGAGTGGGACGAAAATCTGACAAAATCGAAAAATATAAATTATGTTATATCACATATGAAATTATTCGATAAATCACAAAATAAAATCATATGACAATGCATTAAACAACCAATTAATATACACCTGTGATTGATTCGAGACAAAATGGGGTATCTAATTAAGTTACACAGGGCGTGCATAGGTAATATTTTGACTAATTTGTTAAAGAATGCAAATTTCAAATCAATGCCCGGTCTGCTAAGGTGTTACCTCAACTAATAAATCAAAACATAGTCAGGTAATATATAAAGATCATTAATTTCAGATTTTTTAAAGGCTATATACTTAAATATTAAATTAAATTTATATTTATTAGCACAAGTATCTAACAAAAATATATATATATATTTTTTAACTTAAGGCTCTTGACTGGCTCTACATGGTAATAGAGCTATTTTTTAAATAATTTTTTTAAAAAAATTTTGTAAAAATTAATTAATTATTTAATATTTATATAATAATTGAACGATTTTTATAAACTATTGAAAAAAAGTAGCTCTATTACCATGTAGAACTAGTCAAGAGCTTCAAGTTAAAAAAAAATTTATAAACTTTCGTTAGATACTTGTGCCAATAAACGTAAATTTGGTTTTATCCCTTAGTTTGTATACAAATTCAAGGCAAATTTGTGCCTAATTTTATATGTTCATTTTTACATAATTTAATTATAATTAATATATTATAAATCTATTCCAAAATTAGTAAAAAACAATAAAAAACAAATATTTAATAAATTAATTTATTTTTTACTATGAAAATCTTTAAAACAATTAGATCATATATTAGAGAAACAAAGAAGTACATTACATCTAATACACCAGAGTTGAGTTTGAGAAATTGTTTTTTTTTTTTTTTTTTACCTTTGTCATTATTTTTCATTAAATAACAACAATATAGACATGATTTTCTTTTTTTTTGCTATTCTACTAGATGATTTCCTAGAGAAAGTTAACTTATAGATAGGTTAAAATTTTTAGTAACATATTTAATTTTTTTATTTTTTAGTGATGATTTCAATAAAGCTTTAATTGACTCTGAGTTATTCTATTGTTACCACTCTCATTATCTATAGCTTCTTGAATTAAATTTCATACAAAAGTAATTTGAAAGTTTTTACTTGCAATCTTTGTATTTGTAACTTTGCAATAAAAAATAGTACTATTAACAAGAACAGTGTCTAATAACCAAAAAAACAAGAGAAACCAAGTACAATGTGTTGTTAATTGACAATTATAGTAACCTCTAAACTGATCTGCAAGATCAACACCTCCTATATAATTATTATAATTATCAATTACTTGTGGAATAGGCAATGCTTTTTGTAGTATACTACCAAACACTTGACGAATCTTATTTGTATTAGTACTTGTTTTATATAAGTGCTATCTATTTTGAATAACTTTCCACTTATCACCTATAATTTTATGAATAGTTGTAAGCATTGTTACTGGCCTATTATCAATCCATAATACAGTTAAAATATTATTTATAACTACTCCACTTAGTGTATTCCAATTTAATAAATGTGTATATTAATTTTTAACTTTTTATAAAAGTTAGATAAATTAGTTTGAATAGTTCTACATGCACCTAAATTATTTTCACACAAATATTTAAAAAGAGAAATACTTGAAAAATAATTATCTATATAGATATAAAATGTTTTCTTATGAAGAAGTTGATTTGCTAAATGGCATACTATATATCTAGCTTTATTAATATTAGCAATTAACTCTAACTCCTTATTATCCTCAACTCGAGAACTAAACATAAATATGTATATATAGCCAGCATCACATAAAGAATATATTTTGTAGCCTTCAGGTATTAGTTTGTTTTTCATTTTTACAGTATGTATACTTTGGCCAGAAAAACAAACTATTATTTCATCTACAGAAACTTGTAAACTAGGTATATATAACTTTTTAAATGTATCTCAAAAATGGAATGCTAATGGCTCTACTTTAGAGTACCAATTTAAATTAGAACTATATAGATTAGAAATATAAAGAAATTGTTTTATTTGTTCAAATCAATATGTTGTTATAAATTGTTTAATACTATGAATAGCCTTTTGTTCATCTGAATTCCACAAATCATCTGTATAGTAAATTTTGTAAACATCCATATAAATAATGATTGCAATCCAAATTTTTAACTCTTTTAAAGTTAACAAATGCCAAATATAACCACCTTTTTTTAACCTATTAACTCGATGTAATTTTTCATAATTATTACCGTATTACTGTTTAATAATGCGCAAGGGTGAAATTATGAATTTTGGCCCAAATTCGGGCCAAACCTCAAAATAATGCTCATGGGTATTATTATGCGAAAATGCAGTAGTATTATTAACAATTAATTGAAAATAATAATCAGCAAAAAATAGATGAAAATGCAAGTGGACTAATAGTACCTTGCTGTATTTTATATAGCAATATAGTATAACTCCTATGAAGCTCACTAATATTTTTTATTGGTTTAAATTCTAGTAATTCTGGAAGTATTGGTACTTTATTTAATTTAATATTCTTTTCTTTATTTGTTTCTCCACTTATTTTTTTTCTCTTTCTACCTACTCTACTTTTTTCACTTTGCTTATAAGTGCTTTTTGCACTTTTATAATCTATTATGTTGTTAATTCTTGTCTTTTTATGATTATTATATTTAAAGGTAAATATTGCAAATCAGGCAAAAAGTTATTATCAGCAGCATCATATTTATCATTAGAAGTAATATTATCAGCAATACTATCACTATTAGATATAGTATAAGCTGTTTTTTTTTTAAAAAAAAAATATAGAGAATTAAAAGTGTTGATCTTTTATTTAAAGAATATTTTAAAAGTTTGTTGAACCTTATTGTTTTTGTTTGTGGCAAAGATATATCAAAACAAGTGTAGCAGTTACATGTATATACATTATGCTACAAACAATAGGATATTTTTAGTAAATTTTAATAATAGTGTAGACAATTTGCCAGAAACCCGAAATTCAGAGCAAATTTGCTCTGAATATGAACTAAGGGATAATCA